CTTCCTGTCTGTCTGTACAGACCTCCAGACCTCTATGTTTAGCTAATGGCAAGGTCTATCCTCTGATCTTCAGACAGGCTTTATTTGTACAAGCAAAATATCTCCATAGGTGGATTTATGTTCTAGGTCAGCCATGACATAAAACAAAATAAAGCAAAAAATTGACCGCAGATACTACCACTGACAAACACAAAAGCAAAAACAAAGCAAGCAAACAAAACCTGAAGTTACATGCTTATAATCTCAGCCCTGGAAAAGTGAAGATAGTCTAGCCAGACAGCCTAGGCTACTGGGAAATTTACAAGCTAGGGAAATATCATATCATGTCTCACAAAACAAGGTGAACTGCATCTGAGTAATAGCATTTAACATTGTTTTGTAGTCTTCAAGCCTCCAATCAAAGACACAGAGACACACACTGATACAAACATAGAAAGAAAAGTGCTATTTAAATAATATTTTTGTTTGATTTTTTCAAAGTATATAGCAATAGCTTAATTTTACTTTTCTATAACATCTGTGGTTTCTAATCATATTAATAGACACATAGTTATAAAATGAATATTTTGTTCCACTTTTATGAATAAAAGTCATAAGTAACTAACTCAACTGTATTTCTATTACTTTAATCATTGTTCAACATGGTTGATTAGCCGGAAGTCCTTCTGAACCTGATACTCAGTTTGGTGCACTCCTGGAATGACCCTCTGTTTCAACTAGTAACTGAAGTTGATGGTATTCATGAAGCCTCTGATGCTATCATATCAAGAGCCAAAGAGATTGGGGAACAAAACAAACGCCTTCTAGAGGGAATTGAGAAGATTCTTGGCCAGGTGAGCAGTACCCTGAAAATTCAATGCTATTCTTATTCTTGCAAAAACTGATGTCTACAATGAGAAACAAATTTAAAAAAAAAAAAAAAACTCTTCTTTGTAAGGACAAAGTTTAGGCATTCTACATTGTAGAGTTCTATTAAAGCAAAAACAACATTTGTACTAGAGTAGATTCTAAGTCCTGTGAATCTTGGAATTCAACTACAGTGTTTGACAGGTGTGGCCTTCCCACTTCTTATTACAAATCCACAAACAGCTTGGTTACTTAAGGTTAAACATTCAACAATAAAAGGAAAGCATACTATAAAACTGACAAGATAATGCTTTATTGAAGAAATTTCATATATATCAATTGACATTCTGATTAGATATCCTTTCCACAAATAAACCAGAGAATTAAAGTATGAAGGGAGAAAAAAAACAAAATAAAAATCAAATTAGGCACTCTCCTGCCAACTTTGACCCTTATCCATAGGAAAATGGAAAGATAAGGATGGGTCAAAATACAGTTCCAAAATCTCAAAAAGGCACATTTTCTTTAATACATTCTTTATTTTATCATGTAAAAATGGAAAAGGAAAGCAGCTTGTCCTACATGTTGTTTCCCTCCTCTTTCCTAAATCAAACTTATATCATTGCAGTCAAATTATTTGACATATTGAAATTGATTTAGTATTTTGAATTTCTTCAATTAAGATAACTTCAGTGCTAGTGAGATTAATAGCTAATCAGTTTTCTGAAAAATCACATAAATAAAAAATATCTGATGAAAAAAAGGAGTACAAACATCCTAATCACTTTATATTTCTCCTGAACTGTTTAGTGTATATGTTAAGACATGCCATATTTTTGTAATTTCCATGAAAGAATTCACATCTGATCAACATATACACAGACATGAAAATGCAAATTAAACAATTAAACCATCTATATGTATAGTAAACACTCTGATTTCAAGGTATTATCTTCATTTCTGTGACTCAGTATGAGTTAATGATTATGAAATAATAAGGAAACAAGTATATTCTTCCTCATTGTTAATGTTTCAAATATGTGCATTAGTGCAAAACATAAGATGGTAATTGATTCATTATCAGAATAACAGAGCACAAAGTTGTTATCGATACAGATAAGCACTTTAGGTAAGAGAGCAGACAGTCCCTATTCTACCATACCTTGGAAAAAGCTTAGGACTTGATTATCCTTTGTCAACATAGAAGAGACAAACTTATACACAGATCACTTGCCTAATGCAAAACATATCTGTACACTATGCTTCTAACTTTTGGATGACTGACAGACATGTACCCTGTCTAATTATATCCAATACCCATGAGTTTGACAAAATTAAATTTCTCTTGCCCTAAAATATGAAATCAACAATTGGAAGAAATAAGGATGTAAAAATGCTAACATATGAATTGGAATTGTCTGTTTTCTAATTAGGCCTATCCTGAAGCCAAAGGAAATGAGGTCTACTCGGTTTGGTCACAGTTTCCATCTCTGCAGGGAGTTGATGAAGAATCCAGAGACTTAGCTATTTACAACAAGATTCGCTGCCTGCGTAGGGATTCCCACAAGGTTGACAATTATCTCAAGCTCCTAAGATGCAGAATTGTCCATAACAACAACTGCTGAGTTCATGTTCATTCCATGTACTTCTGAAATGGTCTATTTCTTTAAATTGTCTATTAGTATTACAGCTTTCAGTGCATGCTTGGGTGCAATGGGTCTCTTCTTAAAGAATAAAAACAGCTTTTAAAAATGATGAAGTCTGAAAAAGTGATCTGTCATCTTTCATTTGTTAACTTAATGGAAAATATTTCACCGACATCATCATATTATCACATTGTGTCACAAGTAACAGTCTCACGGTTTATAAATGAGGCAAATGGCAAAGTAACTTAAAAGCACAGACTGTTAATATGGGCAAAAAGTTTTAGAATTGAATAAAAAAGTCAGTATTAACAAATTCATCTAGTCTAGCCAAAGGATTTTCATGAGGTAAGTTTCTAGTATAGGATTAGATAAATCAAGTGCTATAGAACTGAATTGCTTATACAGTACACTATCAGCTAAGCAATCTCAAACTGTTAGGAAACAGCCAGGCATTATCCCTAGATAGCTCTAGAAAATGACTTTAGCAAATCTCCTGCACTTCCAAGCCCTTACATTAATCATTTTACTCAATATGACAAGGTGAATTACTTGAGGTTTGGGCAGCATCATAGCAGATTATAGAAAATTAAGTAGAGCAGTGTTTTCCATACAAACTGAGCTAATCTACTTGCTCTAAGGGTGAAAGAGTTGATACATGATTAAGGACAAAAGAAACTTCAGGAAGTGCCTTAAAATTTTCTTACAATTCCTACAGAATCTAAATAATTTTTCACTCTCTTGAAACTGGTCACTGTGTATAAATTTCCATGACATTTATTTTTTTCTTTCATTAGTTAATTTGTTTTTCAGAGTCAGGTTTTCTCTGTGTAGTTTTGGAGCCTGTTCTGAAACTTAGTCTATAGACCAGGCTGGTCTCAAACTCACAGAGATCCACCTGCCTCTATCTCCCCAGTGCTGGGATTAAAGGTGTGCGCCCAAATGACATTTCTGTCCTCTTTGCTTATTAGTGAGAAAATACATCTGGAAAACCAGTCAATACAACAGTTTAAAAATTTGTACATAGGAGAAAACATGCCTGACATTTATAAATTAATGACTAAATGGCCAGTGCATAGATTCATTTTCTTACCCAGGAGATTTAGGAAAAGGAGGAACATGATACTCTAATATACATATGTTTCTATAACTGTTGCTGATTTCACAGCAAAACTAAATGAACAGATGCTACTACTGAAGGTATTGGAGAGCACTTTGGTGTAAAACATAATTTTTTAAAAATAGATTTTATTTAAATTAGAAACAATCTTATTTTACATATCAATCCAAGTTCCCTCTCCCTCCCATTCTCCCATGCCCCCACAGATGAATCCATCCCATCTCCCATCCACTCCTCAGGGAGGAGGGTGAGACCTTCCATGAGGGGTCATCAAAATCTGTCAAGTCATTGGGTGGGGTAGGGCCTAGGCCCTTCCCCTTGTCTCTAAGCTAAGGGAGTATCCCTCCATTGGGAATGAACTCCAGAAGTCTGTTCATGCCCTAGGGATACATCCTGGTTCTGCTGCCAGAGGCCTCATAGACTGCCCAGTCCTCATAGCTGACACAATTTTTAAAAATTGAATTCATGACATAGACATTCCAAGCCCTAAGAACAGCTTCCATAGTACCCAAAGCATTTACAATCACCCAAAATACACACACACACACACACACACACACACACACACAAAGTCATTATGTAGAATATTTCAGGATAATTGTCAACAATTGTTAGATCTCAGCATCATGGTAAGGAAATCCTGGCAAAGGTGGTCTGCTAATGAAACAGTGACACAACAGTTACAAACTACAATCAACAATTATCTGATTTCATTTAAGGCTCAGCTTGCATGAGAAAATCCAAATGTTACAATTGCAGACAGTAAGAAAAACAAAGCAACAAACAAAAATAACAGTGCTTGAGGAGGTCATGTTCTCCACCAATAATGATATTGCTGATTACTAGAACTGTTACTCACTCTGTTTGATTAAAATGTCTAGGATTTGCCTGGTGTTGGTGGTGCATGCCTTTAATTCCAGTACTCGGGAGGCAGAGTTCAAGGCCAACCTGGTCTGCAGGGCTAGTTCCAGGAAGAGGTTCCAAAGCAACACAGAGAAACCCTGTTTCAAAAAAACAAAACAAAAAACAAACAAACAAACAAAATAAAAGTCTAGGATTGTGTTCAGGCTCCTATAACCATTGAATGCAGTTATCATCACCTTAAATCACCTTAAATACTAAGACTGATATTGAAGAAGATATGACAGACATAAGATCTTGAACTAAGGCAATGTATTGGGGGAAAAGTTCATTACTCCTGCCAATCTGGAAATGAGTCACCATGAAACAGAGATGGTATTGGATATTTCTGGGATGACTTGAAGCCTCTATATCTAGAGGCTTCATAGGGGAAAGTAAAGCAGCACATAGAGGTAGGACTATGTTAAAAATAAACAGGATGTCAGTATTCCCAAAAGGGGAAGTGTCACTGACCTATAGGCATTTATCTAATCCATACGCTAGCTCTGCTTGGCTTTGAGTAATTCTATTTGTATATATAGGAAGTGGAAAGTTGAATGAAAGTAGCAGTGTGGTGAAGTGGCTTTCCTGAGTTGGAGATCACATTGTGGTGTACATTCTGAGATGCAGCTGACTTTGGCTCAACCATGCTCCTGTAAGTAGCCCTCCAATACATTCCACTAAACTTTATCAATGCATTATTTCATGAAGACATGCTTGGATAGTTTATTTTCCATGGGATAATCAGTGCTGTATCTTTTAAAAACCAGTGTTTGATTATGCCCCACCTGGAGGCAAGGCAACCGAAAGTAGAGAATGTTTTAGAATGTAATTGCTCCACCAACTTTGAGATCAGTGGTTTTCATTTTGCATTTTATTGATAGACAGGCGAAAGGAGATAGTATTACTTGTATCTAAGGGTACCTTCTAGTAAACATTTCCATTGCACAGGCTCCTTGCAATACAAGAAATAATACAACTCAAATGACCAATTTGCATCACTGATGAATTTTTTTTTTTATGAAGAACGTAAGATTCAATAATCTAATTATTTCAGCTATAGAAAGAGCAAATTGTGATTATGTTTGGTCTTCAGGGCTTGGATATAAATTTGCTTACTTAATAAACAACCAGAATAAACATTCATTTCTGCCCAATATAGATTATGATATTAAGTCTCTGTCTTTATCTGTTTAGAATATGTCAAATGACATGAAAAAAAAAAGAAAGAGAAAGGAAGAAAAGTACAAGTGAGCTGGGAGCTAACAAATAATCCTAACATTTAGGGGGTATTACAAGAAAATGGATTAGTTATAGCCATCAAGTTTATTTACTGAAATTGAAAGTGAGCATAAAATTCTAAGTGCAGTGATATACTATTTATGCTTTGTACAAAAGCTTGCCTGAAGATTCAGAAAGCAAAGTCGGCAACAAGTCATAGAAGCCAGGCACACACCTTTAATCCCATCATCCAGAAACTAGGAGGTGGTGGTTCACACCTTTAATCGTAGGACTCAGGATTAAGATGTAGACATATTTCTATTGAGTTCAAGGTCACCCAGATCTACACAAGATTAATTCAGTTCTAAAGAGAAACAACTCACACAAAGATGATCTCAGTGCCTGGCATCACACACCTTTAATCCCAGTACTAGAGAGGTATGAGATAGAAACAGGGAGATTATCAGGCTTTCATTCTCCATCCACGCAGAGGATAGCAAGACATTGAAGTCCTGGATTCTACAGCCACAATGAGGAAAACATAGTCTGAAGTTTGGTGGAGCCAGGATTGTTTTTTGTGTGAAGTACAGTGGAAGCTAGTGATCAGTTGCTTTGCTTTTCTTCTCTTATCGTGGAGATTTTAACCCCAATCTCTCTCTCTGGGTCATTTATTTTTCATGCAACACTAAGACTTTCAGACATGTGCAGACAATGACTTGAAGACCCTGGATTAGGCTTAATTAAAATTCCATGTTCTTGCAAATTTGAGAAGCTCACCTTAGCAAGCCCTAAATGTGGGAAGTTTTCTCTGGTTTAAACTGTGTACCAGAGAAATGTATTTATTTCCCTCTATTTGACAAGTGTAAAAATAGTTTTCCCTCTTCAGCTAAATCAAACCAAATCATGTAGCAAAGGACCCACAGAACAGACAACAAACATTCCCAGGCAATTTAACTGCCTGAATATGAGTCTCAACTAGAAGGACTGAGTAGTCTAAGGGACCTCAGACAGTGGAACCAGGATGTATTCCTGGTGCACAAAAAGACCTTGTGGACACATCCCCCATGGAGGGATACTGCCTTAACCTAGAGACAAGAGAGAAGTCCTAGTCCCTACTTCAAATGACTTGACAGATTTACATGACCCACCTGGATGGCATTGCCCTACATGTGGAATTGGGTTGGGGGATAGGAGGGGAGTGTGGTCAGAGTGCATGTGAAGGGGGAGAAAAGGTAAGAAGGAGGGAGGGAAAGAGGGAGAGGGAACTGGGATCGACATGTAAAATTAAACAACAACAACAACAATAATAATAAAAGAAAATGCAATTGAATAGATTATCTCATTTCATTTCTCTTAAAACAGTGATCCGTCTGTTGCTACTACTGACAAATCTGTTCTTTTGGAAACATGTGTCCTCAGAACCAAATGTCCTGTCCACTGCTGAGCTGTATGATCATGCGCTTGAACAGGCTCACTCCAACTCTGACACATCTCTAGATATATACCATGAGTTTGTAAGTTCCTCAGTTGCTTTTTGTTTTCTCTCTAATGAGGCCTTCAGAAAAATGCCACTAATTAAATCAGAATTCACATTTCACTGACTTTGTTGTGACAAAATTTTATAGGTAATAGAAAAAGGCAGATACTAATAAAATGTGAATCAGAGAACCGGTTTTCTTCTTCTTTTTTTTTTTTTTTTTTTTTTGTTGTTGTTTTGTTTCTTTGTTTGTTTTTTATAAATCTCAAAGGTTTGTAAGTAAGAATGGAATGATTTTTCAAGTTTTTAATACTATACTTTTTGAGAACATAATATGAACTTCCACTTTTGAATTAGATCCCAAAAGAATCAAAGGAAGGAACTGTGATTCCTTGGTCTTTTGTGGAGTGTCTAGACTCTGTGGAAATCCTTAAGTCACCCTCTACAGAAATACACTGTAACATATCTATACTGTGTTGAATTGTATGCACAGAATAAAATGAAAAGAATCTGAAACCATGTAAGGCAGAGTAATATCCATCTGCTCAGAAAGTCCCAAATGCCAAGAAATATTATTTAGCATGTTTTGGGAGCATTTCATTGTAAAAGTGCGTTTGTGTAGATGGGAACTATGTTCTCCCTTCCTAGTGGAGATATAGGATCTCTGTGTTCTTTTAAGGAGAAAAATACAAGGAATCAGGGGGATTTGTCTTTTGAGTTGTAAAGAGTTCCCTCATCAGTGTGAATTTCATTCTCTGTTCTCTCACAATATTTCAACTGCATGGCATTCCCAGAAACCCATTAACCTACAAATGTTCTGATTGCAAGTATTAAATGTTTTGTATTAAAAAATAAATAGCTGAAGAAGCATACTCCACAACTATAAACTTTAAATAATATTTTGGGTCTTTTCCTTATCCCCTTGCTAACTATGCAGTTAAAATTGTGTGTGTGTGTGTGTGTGTGTGTGTGTGTGTGTGTGTGTGTGTGTATTGGATATGGTTTCTCTATGTAAAATCCCTAGTTGTCCTGGAACTATCTGTGTAGACCAGGCTGGCTTTGAACTCACAGCAATCTTCCTGCCTCTGTGTTGTAAATGCTTGGATTAAAGGTGTGAGCCACCACTACCTAGTAGATGTTTTTCATATATCTTGACGGTATCAACATCACTGCATTCTACTTTCACCATGGATATGGTGTTATACAAACATAAAGACATGGCAGATATTTAGAGGAAAGATATAAATGTATAATTACTAATTAAATTAAATACATCAGTTTGGGTCAATAGAAAAAACACATTATTTATACATTTGTAAAAATAATCACTATTCTTTAACACTCAGCTCAAATCCTAGGAAAAGTTATACTTAAAACTGTAAGTTTTTGATTTGGACTTTGTGTGATTTTTAGTGCTTGCTTTCCAGACAATACATTTTAAAGAACAAAACATAAGAGAACATTAAATAAGGGTTTAAGGTCAGGATTGGATCTCTAAAGGGAAGATAAAAATGAGAAAATATATTTGCTTTATTCCCTTGTTTTAATTTTTAAGTAGTTCTTTTTTTAAAATAAGTTATATCAAGTTCATTGATGTTCATATATGTTTCCATTCAATTTTAAAAGCCAACACTATTGAATCATATAATTTCTTCCAGAATGTAAAGTTTGCCAAAGCAAGTTGGTTAAATGACAGGTTGCCCACCGTGTGCCACACTGCTTCCATCTGGACTCCAACGAACATTAAGCAATTCCATGAAACAAAAGTAAGTTTCCTTCTTGGATTCATCTGAAACAAGTAAAGCTGTCTACTGCCTAGTTTTTCTGTATGTGATTACAGGAGCCAAACAGGGGCAATTTTTGATCCATAGACTGGAGGAAGAAGCAACAGTCCACATCTCACAGCTGATAATTTACACACCAAGCCAATACCAATTAACATGACAGCAAATTCAAAAGTTCCCAGGACAGTTTTTTAGCATTACCATGGTGGGATTGTTCTTATTACGCTCTGGGAAGCTTTGATGTGAATTAGGCACTGCTTAAGTATACTGTTCAAACACGTGCAAGAAGTACAGATATAGTAGTTTTATGGTGTAATCATAAAGGCTTCTCCTCTAGTATCAGGCTACTTACCTAACCATTGTGATATTTAGTGTCTGCTTCCAAGAATTTCTTGGTCCGACCTCAGTTTCTTCATTATAGTCAGCCTTTATTCACTGTTCTACTTTCTCTTATGTCATAAGTGAAAACTGGTTGTATAAGAGGCTCCTCTACATACTATATCTTGTTTCTCAGGATGACCCCTGTTTGATGAAGTCTGGAACGAGCCCATAGTTCTGTATTATGATCTCTTCCCCCTGACAATGTTAGTTGATTTAGCATAAAATTCATATGTATATGCACATAATGGGGACTTATGCAGATGAAGAAAATTATGATTTCGAAAGCTATGATTCCATCAATGTATTGTTTTAATGATCTATCATAATATATAAGTCCAAAGTGAATATAGGACGGGCCAATTTTATTCATTCATGTGGAAATTATTTGGGTCACTTGCTCCTGACAGTGTTGGTGTCTATGTTATCTAAAGTGAGGTCCTGAGGTCATTTACTGAGTCCAGGTAAGCCTAGCTTTCTCACAGAAAGGGATAGGAATAAAAGAGAACATTTTTGTCTGAGTTAGGATTTCTATTGCTGTTAAGAGACACCATGACTACAGTAACTCTTATAGTGAACAACATTTAATTGTGGTCTCTCACTTACAGTTCAGGGGTTTAGTTCAGTATTTTCATGGTGGGAAACAAGGCAACATATAGGCAGATACGGTGATAGAGATGAGAATCCTTACATATTGATCCAAAAGTGAAAGGAAGTGAACTGTCTCATTAAGGATGGCTTGAGCAACTATGGTACCTCAAAGCCCACCTTCATAATAACACACTTCTTCCAACAAGACCACATGGTACTCCAACAAAGCCATTCATTTTAATAGTGCCAATCTCTTTGGAGGCCATTTACTTTCAAGCCACCGGATGGTTGAATGTAGAGTGAAATCAAAATAAAAATACTTTGACCTGTCAGTAGAAAAAAAAATTGTTTAGCTCTAACTAAATTTATTTAGCAAACTTTAGTACAGTGGCTAAAATTTTATGTTTCTATAATGTGTAAATAGCATGAAATATGTATAAATAAGAAATATATACTGTAGTTTACCATCTTTGTGTAAAATCAACAGATATCTAACCTCTTGAATCTCATGTAGTTTAATGTGGTGTTGAATCATGCTCTCCTAGGCAGAAGACATTCTGAAAGCAGTCATTAGTATCTCCCGTGCCTGGGACTATCCCCTGTTACATCTGGTACTTCGCACGGCTTTTCTCCCCAAAGCGTCTAATAATATGCTGCAAAGAACAAATGATCTAAAGAATGGAATTATAATACTTCTGGAGGACCTTGAGATCATACTCAGCAGGGTAAGCTGTTTCTTCACATTTCTTTGTTTAATACATGGAAGTGGTGCTTTGAACAATAAGAAGAGAATTTTTAAATAAGACTTTTGCAAGGGTGAACTCTTTGTTTCACATTGTTGAAAATTGAGCAAGTAAGGGACCACTTTTAGATCTAATACCTGAGATACTTATTGAGAACTGTATAAACAGAAAACCACTGTTCTTCATAATTACTTGAAAAGTAGCCTTTTTGGGCTTGGTGGACACCCTTGCCTTCATGTATAAACTTTTCTCATGATAGCCATTTCCTGGTTCTCCTGAATTTTATAAAACTGACTAAAATTAGCTCAATATGCTGATCATGTCTAAGGATTCAGAAAATGCACAGTAAAAAGAATATATTTAATTGAAAGTTAAAAGATGAGGACACTCTACTAGAGTCATGAGTTATGAAGTACTTATCAAAGGAAGTACACCCTACCTGTGGAGTGGGGAGGGGGATGGGATGGGATGGGAGGATGGTTGGAGGGGCATGGGAGGGTGTGAGAGAGGCAGAGAGGGAAAAAGAAAGGGAGGGAGAGGGAATTGGGATTGATATGTAAAATAAGAAAAATAAATAAATTAATTTAAAAAAGAATATGTAAAATTCCTTGAATTGAAAGAATTTATACTAGCTCCTCCATTTTTCCAGGATTCCATTCTATGTTCAGTCAAGTACAACTTTTTAACTCTCCTTCTGCCTATTTGTATATTGATACATTTCATTTGGGATCAATGGCACACCCAAATATATACATCATCAGGCTTCTAGGTTTAGATGACTAATGCCTTTATGGTACTTGACTGAAGTAGCTGAAAATCCATGATTTATAGCTAGCTTTATATGACTCTACTTTCTACTCACCAATTCAAAATTTAGAAGGAATATATATTGGGTCTGAATATGTCTCTTGTTTCTAAGTATCTTCCTTGTGTTTTCAGAGCAGATTTAATCCTGTGATTCATGTCAAAAGGGGTTGTACTATCTTCTTCATGTAGGGGCAGATTAAGGGAGAAAGACATATGGAGATATATGGAGGATTCTGGGTAAAATAAAAAAAAAAGTGATCTCAAAACACAAGGTAGAAGTCATTGAAGGATATTTACTGATGATTGAGTACTGACCAGCAGATGCATACAAAAAAATAAACACACACTAACATGGAAGGATAAAAAAATACTAATAATGTCAATTATATCTGTTCATTTGATGTGCAGATGAAGCCTGGGGCTATAGAAAATGACTATCCTCACTGGTCAGGACTGAGAGAATTCCAGTCATCTGATGAAGACACTCAACTTTTCGCTATGTATAATCTGTTACGATGCCTGCAAAGAGACACTCAAAAGGTTGAAAGTTACCTCAAGGCCCTGAAGTACCAAGTCATCTTTAAGAATAACTATTAATCAGAGACGCTTCATTATGGAACAGATGGGGAAAATACAAAGATATGATATGGGATATTCTTATATATGATGTGAATATGTGTTATTTTTATTGGTTGATGGATAAAGCTGATTTTTGCCCATGGCCAATCTGAATATAGCTAGATGGGAAATCAAAACAGAGATAGCAAAAGAAAGAAGGTAGAATCTGGGAGACACTATATAGCTGCTGAAGGGTAAGATGCCAGAACATTTATCAGTAATCTATGGCTATGTGATGTTACACAGATTATGAAAAATGGGTTAATGTATAAGAGTGAGCTATTTAGTAATAAGTCTGATCCATTGGCCAACCAATTATATTTACTATTAGCCTCTGAGTGATTATTGCATAAGCCGCTGTGGTGACCCACAAGAGGAAGAGAAAGTGGTCCAGAAGGACCAGCAGGACAGAGAAAAACATTCAGCTACCTGTGGTGCATGATGAGGGACAAAATTTTCCTTGTAAAACCTGACAAAAGTTTAAAAAGGAATTATAAATGCAAAAGAACAGACTCAAACACAGCTTCTTGGTAGCAGCATTTTCTCAGATGGGCTGTGTTTGCTAGAAGCAAGCAGAGATACAGCTCCTTTAAGAGACAGTTTCCTCTCAATTGGAAAGTCTTTTTCCAACCCTTAACTCAGGGGTGATGTCTGTCTTTGAAGTTTAGGTGTGTTGCTTGTATTCAAGGAAATGGATGGAACTAGAAGAAACCATCCTGAGTGAGGTAACCCAGTTACAAAAAGACAAACACAGTATGTACTCAGTCATTCATATATGGATTTTAGACATAGAGCAAAGGATTACCAGCCTCCAATTCACACCACCAGAAAAGCTAGGAAACAAGAGGACCCTAAGAGAGACAAACATGGTCCCCTCGAGAAGGAAAAAGGGACAGGATCTCCTGAGCAAATTGGGAGCATGGGGGGAGGGAAGAGGGAGTTAGGAGAAAGAGAAGGGGAGAAGAGGAGGGGAGAGGAGGGCATGAGGAATCAGGAAGACTGAGTCAGGGAAAGAATAGAGGAGAGCAAGAAGAGAGACACCATAATAGAGGGTGCTATTATAGGTTTAAAGAGAAATCTGCCACTAGGGAAATGCCCAGCAATCTACAAGGATGAACCAAACTAACAATTTAAGCAATAGTGGAGAGACTACATTTAATACCCTTCCACAGTAATGAGATTGATGACTATCTTATATGCCATCCTAGAGCCTTCATTTAGTAGCTGATGGAAGCAGAAGCAGACACCCAGAGCTAAACACTTGCTGAACTCCTGGAATCCAGTGAGGGAAGAATGATGAGCAAAGGGGTCAAGAACAGACTCAGCTGACTTGAAAAAGGGGAAGTTCATGCACACCAATCTGATAGCTGGGGAACTGACACAGACTCCCTGAATGTGGTTGTTAGTTAGGAGGACTGGGCAGTCTATAGGGCCTCTGGTAATGAATCAGTATTTATCCCTAGTTTACTAAAGGACTTTGGGAGCCCATCTCACATAGAGGGATACTTTCTCAGCCTAGAAACGGGGTAGGGCATAGGCCCTGCCCTAAATGACAAATCTGATTTTAATGATCCTCCATGGAAGGCCTCACCCTCCCTGCAGAGTAGAAAAGAGGATGGGAAGGGGATTTGTGGGGGTGATAGAGGAGGATGGGAGGGTGAAAGAACTGGGATTGGCATGTAAAACACCCTTGTTTAAAATTTAAATTAAAAAAGAAAGAAGTAAATAAAAGGAGACATCTTCCTGGCTATGCTGGTGATATCCCTGGAGCTGGGGTAGGGAACATGGCTCCCAGAGCTGGTGGTGAATGTACCTCTGCCATGTTGAAAAGCTGAGTGGGGTGGTAGACCCAACAGACAAAAGCACCTGCTTATTCCTAGTCATATCTGCTTAGCATTTGAAAATCACTCCTGATCAAAAAAGGATTACAGACACACAAAAGGACAGATTAGACAAAAAAAAAAAAAAAAAAAAAAAAAAAAAAAAGTCTCCAAATGGGTCACAGTGTGTTTGACAAATTTGCATGGGCTTGAGAGAGAGCATAAAAAAGATAGAGTCATACATAAAAAAACAAAACAAAAAACAATTTAAGGATAATAAACTGAAGTCCTTTACAAAAGAGTAAAAACTTCACAATGGGCCATGTAAGGATGAAAATATACAGAAAGTCTGGATTGTGTATATTAATATGTTTCTTTGAATTTTTGACTATTAATGAGCTAACTTCAAAGAGACATCTGATTATGGGGCCTGATAAACCAACAAACATATTTTAAAGTTATGTGACTCAAAATTTAAATGTAAGGGCATGATACTTTGGAAAATAGGTTCTGCTTCTGTTTCCACAGAAGATAAAAAGCTGTGGATTCCTTCCAGGTTAATATGGTTTCATTAAACAAAAGTCCCTGGAATAATGTAACAGGTAATCCAAAATCTGTAACAGCTTCAAGACAACTGGATGAGATGATGTAATCTCACAGACTACTACATAAAAGATTGAACCATAATTCTAAATTTTCTCAGGGTTCCCATATGAAAACTGTGTCTAACAAGCAACAGAAAATAGTCTAAAAAACTATGTACAAATTCCCAAATATTGTTTATAAATATTTGTTTTCATTTATAAAGGGGTTGGTTATAAATGGTTATTGATCACACTCAATCTCTTTTTAAAGGAAAAAGGGGATATGATATAGAATAGAAATGAATATATTGGTATGGATTTTGGTTTACTAACACAAATATAAGTTCAAATTTGTTATTTTTTAAAATTTATTTTATATAACCAAGTCCATTTAAATGAAAACAAACATCTATAGACAATCTTTGGGAATTTGGGCATTGTTCTTTCCAAACTACTTCCTGCTGGTAAGGGGCGCTGTCATGGGGGAATCTAAGAAGATGCAGCAATCCTGGCTGTAGTCTGCAAGGCTTCTTTGTCCAGCTGTTTTGAATATTTTATATATATATATATATATATATATATATATATATATTTGTGTGTGTGTGTGTGTGTGTGTGTGTTATATATTTATCATGTCTGCCTTCTGCATGCTGCAAATATGTGTTGCCTTTATTGGTTGATAAATAAAGCTGATTTGGCCAATGAGCAAGCAGAATATAGCTATGCAGGAAATACAGATATAAATATATAAAGAAGGCTGAGACAGTCAGGAGACATTCTATAGTTGCTAAAAGGGTACAGTGCCAGAACATTACCAGTCAGCTATGGCCACGTGGTGATACACAGATTATAAGAGACAGCAACTCAGTAATAAGCCTGAGCCATTGGCCAAACAATTATATTTAATATTAGCCTCTGACTGATTATTTCATAAGAAGCTGTGGGAATGCATGTGTAGGAGAGAACCCTGTCTAGAGGATCAGTGGGTCAGAAAAAAACATTAAACTACAAATATCCACAGCTAGATATGCAGAGACAGAGAGATCTTGGAGCACTCAGCCTTAAATGGGGTGGGTGCAGCAAATCCCTCTCCTCACAGCTCAAGGAATCCTGCATCAGAGGGGATAAAAGAGGGTATGGAGAACACCAAGAAACAAGGCCCTCCAAACCAACATGAACAATGTTCATATGAACTCACAGAGAGTGAGACAGATGCACAGGGACTGCACAGGTCTGTACTAAATCTTCTGCAATTAAATTATAGCTTCCAGTTCTTTTATTTTTGTTAATGGTATTCCTGGATGTGGGAATGAGTATGTGTCTGATTCTTGTGCCTTCTCTTGAACTTTTTTTCTTGATCTGTCATATCCAATTTCAATGTGATGGTTTTTGTTTTGCCTTATTGTATTTTATTTTTTTATATTACAAAAACTCAATGAATACATAAATGAAACCCTGCTACTACAGTAAAGGTTAATAAGAACTTTCACTTATACCATCTGGGAGAGGGAAAATAAGTTTTCCCTAATGGAGTGACATTGTACACAACCAAGTCAGAGCAAGTCTTTGGTCTAACATACAATTGACTCCACAGATTTTTTTTAATGTTTTTTTCATTTAATTATATTTGGTGTTTTTTTTTGTTTGTTTGTTTTTTTGTTTAGGTGTTGGCTTATTTTGTTTTCTTTGTTTGAGAGGAATTCTTTGTTGCATTTTTTTTAATTTTATTTTTTGAGAAAGAAATTAAAATTGGATAGGTGAAGGGGTGAGAGGATCTGGAAGGACTTTTGGGGGGAATATGATTAAATTATATTTAAATTTAAAAATTGTTTCTAAGTAAAAAAATAATATGTCAAAAAGAGAAATGAAAGAATAACCATGAAGTGCACATCCCTGCAACATGCTGCTGAAATAGCCCTTGGTGAAGCAGACCTTCAGTTAATTCCAACATTTTTATTGTTTGGGTACATGCATTGTTATAATGGATTTCTTATAAAATAAAATATGTTCTTTAGAAGTGATCAAAGTGAAAATTGGTCAGTTTCTTATAAATATTTAATGTATAATCAATCCTTAGTTTTGTGATGTTCCTGTAAAAATTTTTACAAATAGGCCATTTGGAGAGCAAATAAGATAGCTGACAGCGTACTTTATAATCAGATTGAATAAAGAAGACCAAATTAATTTAACCTGAAGCAATTAGTTGTTATTACTAAGTAGATCATTTGAATGGACATCTGGGATAGTTTACAAAGACAAGGCATTTAGTGAGTAAATTTTCAGTGTAATAAGACAATACAAGTTGTATGCTTTTGAACTGTCCTGAAATACCACCAATTTTATATGTTCCAAGATGTATTGGGAAATAAGTATAAAGTGGCTCTATATTTATCCAGTACTCATCTCCAACAATGATACTTCTTAGTGCCTTCTGAGGAAGATTCCATATGTTTGGATTACTGTGGTTCTGTTAACATTTAGTCTCACATAGGGTATTTAATCTCCTCCCATTATCCTCCTTTTTCTTCCTTGTGCATATCTGTCTATGCCTTTGACTTTCTCAAAATTCCAAAGA